GAGGGTTTGCCAAATTCGACTTTGTGTTAACGAGTGACTTCAGCGATGAAGAACTCGCAACTATTGTTTCCCCTCCAGAGTTCGAATCGGAGGAAGAGGTGATGCGTTTGGCGAAAGATTTGAAGTTTTTGACGAAGAACGAGGACCAGTTTTCGGACTCTAAACACGAAATGGAGGTGAAGCACAAGATTGGTTATTACCGAAAAGGGAAACCAATTGTCGTTAAAGTGCACGAGGGGAATGTAGACACGATTTTCGCAACGGTTTCAAAGTTTAAGAAGACTGGATATGCTTTGCATTTTATTTTCGCTGGGAACAGTCAAGTCGTGAAAGAAAAATTATCCGGTTTTACGGTGTTTGAAAGCTTGTACGACCTGATGAAGCTACACAAGGAGATCTATGAAGAAATGGTGAAGGAAATGAAGATTTTTCTATTTGGAGAGAAATATTTGTATTGTGACTTTTTTGACAAAGAAGAAATCGCAACGCAGATGACGATAAAGGACATTTTTCGGATGTTGGCAAGCACTTTCATCTTGACCATAAACAAAGAAGTTTTACCCGAACCTTACATACCAAGATTTTTGTCGAAGACGCTCGTCAAAGTCGAGTCTATGGACGAATTCCGTAACGATCTTCTCGTTGTTAGTCTTCGTTTACATTGGACAGTTAAAGATTTGTTGGAAAAACGCTTAGGTTTACCTTTCGAGATAACCTGGAGATACCTTGAGTCACCACCATCAACTCCCCACATTCTTTGGGATTCATTCGGGTCTTTCGACGATTTTGACAAAGTCGTCAAGAAGAATCCATCAATGAACGTCCACTTTTTCGAAGCGCACGATGAACAACGTCTTCAATGGTTAGCAAGCAGTGGTAGCCTTAAACAGGTGAAAAAGTGTGGAGTTTCCAAAGAAACATACGTGGATGAGTACACAACTTTGCAGGAATGTAATAATCGGATTAACGTCATCACGGCTCCTGGTGGAATGGGAAAGTCCGAAATTTTGAAGAAATTCAAAAGCTTCTGGCCATCGAAATTTTTCCCAGTTTTAGTTAATTTAAAAGAACACAATGACTTCTTCGATAATGTACACGAAGACGAGGAAACACTCGAACATATTTTGTTTGACACAAACGACGATTTGTTTTGGTCGGAGATTAAGAAAAATTTTGCTAAGAGAAAGAAAATCATGTTCTTTTTGGACGGGTTGGACGAACTAGAGCACGAAAACATCGACGCTGCTTTAGATCACGTAAAGCGGTTGTCCGAAATGGGTTTTACTCTTTGGTTGACTTCTAGACCTCACCTGGAAGAGCTCATCGAGAACAAACTGAATGTTCTTTGTAGGAATATTCAAGAGTTCAGCGATAAAAATCAAGAGGACTATATTAGGGAGCGGTTGAAGCAAAGTCCAAATGTTGACCAGTTAGTGAGTGGGATTTTTAAGAATATTGACACTATTGTGGAAAATAGAGTCATTTTAGACGTTCCAATGCAACTTTACATGATCACAGAAATTCTGAAGGAGTCGCCGGATATAAGCGACAATATTTTTGTCTTGACGAAGATGTTTCGGAATTTTTGTATCGGAAGATATCGGCACTTTTTGAGAAAAAACGACTGCGAACACTGGAAACCGCTAACAAAAATTCTTAGTGACAGTCTCCGGTATCGTTTCAAACAGTATCAGATTGCCGCCCTCAAATCCTATTTTACGAGACAAGAATTTCAGGTTTTTAATATCGATTTGGATAACTCGTGTTTTGAAGAGATAGAAACAGAAAGCGACTTTCTAGGAATCATTTTGAAGATTAGCCCTGATGCGGTGGTTTTTCATCATAGCACGACTGCCACGTATTTCGCGGCGTTATACCTTGCCGAGAACTATTCCAAATATGGGGAATTTCTACAAGCTACGCTTTTCAAAAAAGAACAAACCCATTTGCGACTATTGTTTGACTTGGTTCTTGCTGAAAACTCACCAACCCACGTAGCCGTTTTGTACAAAAACGTAGAAGCATTGAAGAAGTACAAAAATGACATCCACTCTGTAGACAAAGGAGGTCGTTCCACTTTACACCTTGCTTGCTCCTATGGTGTCACACGCGTCATCATTGAAGACAACCTAAAAAACGAACACCAAAGTAATGACCATTTCAACAAACTGAGAAAAAGGGATAACGAATACCGGAAAATAATAGAATTTTTGCTAGACAACCAAGTCGATCTACTATCAAAAGACTTCGTCTACCAATGGGACAGTCTAAATTTCGCAGAAACCACACTCTCGATTCTTCCTTTCGACGTAATTTTGGAACGCACCGACTCAAAAATCGAAATGAAGGACAAAATACTCAATTTAGACCAAATAAAACACAAACCCCTCAACATTCTTATCTGCAGCGCCATCTTTTCCTATCGCCACCTCTTCAAATTCTTGTTTGAAATTACACAACTCAAACCCGAAAACACTACACAAATTCTTCACAGTGCTGCTTGTTTCAACAACTTCAAGATTGTTAACATCATGATGGACTACAAAGTTGATATTCAAATTGACACCAAACGTGGAAAAACGATTTTGCATCAAGCTTGTGCCATGGGTCATCGGGAACTGGTGATGTTCCTTCTCTCCAAAGGAGCGCAGGTTAATGATGTCGATGAGTATGGTCGGACACCTCTTCATCTAGCCGCTCTTAATGGACAACTTCAAACTGTTGAAACGTTTTTGAAACATGAAGCATCTCTTGATTGTGTGGATAAATTCGGTCGAACACCATTGTATTTTGCTGTGGAAAAGGGGCACGATGAGGTGGTTAAGTACTTAGTGGATGAAGCTCACGCTAACTTTAGCAGGAAAGCTTGGAATGGATGGGGTCCTCTTGAGTTAGCCATCATGCAAGGAAATGTAAACATCGTTCGGTTCTTGCTAGAGAAAAACGTGAGTGTTGATGGTGTAGATGACTATGGTATGAAACCATTACATTTGGCCACCAGACAGTCAAACCTTGAAGTACTAGACATGGTATTGGAGAGATTTAAAGATGTTGATGACTGGTGTACTGACGGTCGCACAAGTTTACATTTCGCCATAAAAAATGGTAATGTTGCCTTTTGTGAGTACTTATTGGAGAAAAAAGCTTGTATAGATGAACGTGATGAGAGGGGACGAAGTTGTTTAGACTATTGTGTCAAGTTCGATCGTTGGGAAATTTTTGAGTTGCTTTGGAAAAATAATGTGGACGTTGATATCTCCGATGGTGATGGGATTAATAGCCTTCACTGGGCTGCAAAACATGGCCATTTAAAGATGGTCGAGTTACTGGTGAACAAATGTGACAGATTGATTTTCGAAGAATCCATAGCCGGAGCTATGCCTTTACATTTCGCTGCACAGAATGGGCACAATAAAATCGTGGAGATTCTCTTAGAAAACGGAGCTGACGTTGATAAGCCGGACCACTACTTCGGAACACCTCTGCGTTGGGCAGCTTCGGAAGGTCATGTCAGTACCGTGGAACTACTACTAGAAAAGGGCGCCACCCTCGAGAAAATTAACGGAATGTCGGCGTTAGACTTTGCTAGGTACAAGACCAAGTGATTTTCAAGTGTAAAATGAATAGATTTTGTAGTCAGTGTAATTAATCGTAAATAAAGGGATTCTTGACAAAATATGTTCGTTTTAATAAAAATCACACATTTCTACTAAGTAGAAAAAACGAGGGACAATGCAGGTAATCGCAGTGTTCTGAAACATGTAGGTATTGAATGTAGAAAGTTCCAATCTTGGTTATAGCTGTTTAAACGACAATTTAAAAACTGCCTTGGTAATATTGCACTGCTATGATTAGTACGTCATATCTTATCAAATCCGGTTTAATGTTATCCATAACACATACTTTGTGGAAAATACGGTAATCGAGAGAAAGAAAGCGAGTTACGTTGTGTGTGTTTTAATCGTGGTTTGTTTTTAACGGAAGAAGCGATTTTTACGTTAAAATGGATGATTGTTGTGAGCAGATACCGAACAAGCTAGATGTAAGTCAGTTCTCAAACATTTGGGGGTATTTATGTTGGTGTTTTTGTGGCGTTTGTGTCTCTGTCTAAGTGTGTTTGATATAAAAAAGAGTTTACGACAACATCTGAATCTTTAAAATGGTAATTAGTTGCATGGTTTCTCTAATCAAGAAATGAAAAAAAAACCGATCGATTTGTATGAAAGTGTTGGCACCTGTTATCTATCGTGAAATAGTTTGACCTTCGTAGATTAAAATTTATGACAATACGTTTATCTCTTATCTGCAAAAGTTGGGTGATTTTTGATATATTTACGATTTTTTGCAGAAACCTCAAAAAATGACAAGTAATGAAGACCAAGAGTACGAAATCCTCCTCCCAGCCCTATTCACTCTCTTCTTTCTCGAAGATGACACCATCAGAAACTTCGTTCTTAGAACCGATGTGCAGAAATTCGGTTCTTTTGGCGATCTTATCATCACCCTGTACAAAACCGTCGAAGAAGAAAACTACGCCTTCCAAGTCAAACACAAAGAAAAGCAAAACTGCGTCTTAAGCCCCAGATGCTTAGAATCCGAAACCAAAAGCGACTTCGCTGTTTTACAGTACTGTGAAGAATTCAGCGAAATCGCAGAAAGGGAAAAGTACACTTTCGTTACTTACACCAACGCGTATTTTAATTCAGAAGAAATGAACGAAGCCGCTTGTTTTGACGTAAACTGCTGCGATAACTCCCCTGGGAAAAAATATTTCTACAAGCCTTCGTCTGACAACGCAAGAATTTACAATTTTTGTTCGAACACCAAGACTAAGACCACGAGTTTGGCGACCAAACAAACCTGTGAGAGTTTTTTTGAAAGGTTTGCTCTTTACACGTCTCAGCAGAATTGGCGCGAAGTCCAAGAAGCGGTCCTCGAGAATTTCCAGAGGATTTTTCGTACGTCGGATCGATCAGCAGCTTTGGAGTATATCGATTATTTCAGAAACTGGAAGCTGAACGAGTACACAAACGTCGAACTAAACAGAGAAGAGGTGGTGATCAAGATTCTGGATTTGATTTTGACACCTCACGTGGTAGCACCGTCCAATTGGAACGAAGATTTAGCTTTACTAGAAAGAGGGTTTGGCAAATTCGACTTTGTGTTAACGAGTGACTTCAGCGACGAAGAACTCGCAACTATTGTTTCCGCTCCAGATTTCGAATCGGAGGAAGAGGTGATACGTTTGGCGAAAGATTTGAAGTTTTTGACGAAAAACGACAACCAGTTTTCGAACTCTAAACACGAAATGGAGGTGAAGCACAAGATTGGTTATTACCGAAAAGGGAAACCAATTGTCGTTAAAGTGCACGAGGGGAATGTAGACACGATTTTTGCAACGGTTTCAAAGTTTAAGAGGACTGGAGATTGTTTACATTTTATTTTTGCTGGGAACAGTCAAGTCGTGAAAGAACAATTATCCGGGTTTACGGTGTTTGAAAGCTTGTCCGACCTGGTGAAGCTAGACAAGGACATCTATGAAGAAATGGTCAAGGCAATGAAGATTTTTCTATTTGGAGAGAAATATTTTTATTGTGATTTTTTTGACAAAGAAGAAATCGCAACGCAGATAACGATAAAGGACATTTTTCGGATGTTGTCAAGTACTTTCATCTTGACCATAAACAAAGAAGTTTTATCGGAACCTTACATACCAAGATTTTTGTCGAAAACACTCATCAAAGTTGAGTCTGTTGACATAATTTCGAACGATTTTCTTATTTTCAGTACTAACGACCACTGGCAAGTTAATAAATTATTGGAAAAACGCATATCTAAACCTTTTGTGTTAACGAGGGAATATCTTGAGGACACACCATCAACTCCCTGCGTTGTTAGCCATTTTAACGTGTCTTTTGACGATTTTGAAAAAATAGTACAGATGAATCCATCAACCAATGTCCACTTTTTTGAAGCACACGACGAAGAATATTTTGAGTGGGTAGCGTCAAGTGGTAGCGTTAAACCAGTGAAAAGTTGTATATTTTTCAAAGAAACATACATCGACGAGTCCACAACTTTGCAGCTATCTCAAAATCGGATTAACGTCATCGTCGCTCCTGCTGGACGGGGAAAGTCCGAAATTTTGAAGAAGTTGAAAAATTCCTGTTCATCGAATTTTTTCCCAGTTCTAGCCAATTTAAAAGAACACAGCGACTTCTTCAAAAATGTACACAAAGACGACGAAACACTGGAACATTTTCTGTTTGACGCAAACGACGATTTGTTTTGGTCGGAGATTAAGAAAAATTTCGCCAAGAGAAAAAAAATCATGTTCTTTATGGACGGGTTGGATGAACTACAAGACGGAAACATCGACGCTGCTTTGGATCACGTAAAGCGATTATCCGAAATGGGTTTTACTCTTTGGTTGACTTCTAGACCTTACCTGGAAGAGCTCATCGAGAACAAACTGAATGTTCTTTGTAGGAACATTCAAGAGTTCAGTGATAAAAATCAAGAGGACTATATTAAGGAGCGGTTGAAGCAAAGTCCAAATGTTGACGAGTTAGTGAGTGGGATTTTTAAGAATATTGACACTATTGTGGAAAATAGAGTCGTTTTGGACGTTCCGTTGCAACTTTTCATGATCACGGAAATTCTGAAGGAGTCGCCGGATATAAGTGACAATATTTTTGTCTTGACGAAGATGTTTCGGAATTTTTGTATCGGAAGATATCGGCACTTTTTGAGAAAAAACGACTGCGAACACTGGAAACCGCTAACAAAAATTCTTAGTGACAGTCTCAGGTACCGTTTCAAACAGTATCAGATTGCCGCCCTCAAATCCTATTTTACGAGACAAGAATTCCAGGTTTTTAATACCGATTTGGATAACTCGTTTTTTGAAGAAATAGAAACAGAAGGCGACTTTCTAGGAATCATTTTGAAGATTAACCCTGATGCGGTGGTTTTTCATCATAGCACGACTGCCACGTATTTCGTGGCGTTATATCTTGCCGAGAACTATTCCAAATATAGGAAATTTCTACAAGCTGCCCTTTTTAAAAAGGGACAAACACCCTTACGACTTTTGTTTGATTTGATTCTTGCTGAAAATTCTCCAGCACACGTAGCCGTTTTATACAAAAACGTAGAAGCGCTGAAGAAGCACAAAAACAACATCCACTGTGTTGATAAAGGAGGTCGTTCTGCTTTACACCTTGCTTGCTCCTACAGTCTCTTTATTGCCATGGTTGAAGGCAACTTCAAAAACAAACAAAACTTAAACAAACTTAGAAAAGACGATGACGAATCCCGGAAAATAATAGAATTCTTACTAGACCACCAAGTCGATCTACTGTCAAAAGACTCCGTCTACCAATGGAACAGTTTAAATTTCGCAACAGCCACATATTCCTTTTTTCTTTTCGACGTAATTTTGGAACGCAACGACCCAAGATTCGGCATGAAAGACAAAATACTCAACTTAGATGTAATGAAAAAAAAACCTCTCCATGTTCTAAAGTACTGTGCTTTCTCTTCCTGGCGCCACCTTTTCAAAGACCGCTTTGAAATTACGAAACCCAAGCTCAATGATACGATGCAAATTCTTTTCTTTGCTGCTTTTGTCAACAACTGGGCAATTGTTAACATCTTGATGGACTACAAAGTTAATATTCAAACTAACACAAAATGTAGAAGGGCGATTTTGCATTTAGCTTGTGCCATGGGTCGTTTGGAACTCGTGATGTTCTTTCTGTCGAAAGGAACTGATGTTAATGCTGCCAATAAGTATGGTCGGACACCTTTGTATGTTGCTGTGGAAAATGGTCACGAAGAGGTGGTTAAGTACTTAGTGGATGAAGCTCACGCCAATGTTAACAAGAAAGCTTGGGATGGATTGGGTCCTCTTGAGTTAGCTATCAAACAAGGAAATGTCAACATGGTTCGCTTATTCCTAGAAAAAAATGTCGATGTTGATAGTACGGACGGATATGGAATGAAACCGCTACATTTGGCCGCCAAACAGTCAAACCTTGAAATCCTAGTCATGGTATTGGAGAGATCTAAAAGTGTAGATGTTCGGACTAGTAACAGCCGCACAAGTTTACACTTCACTGTAGAAAATGGCAACCTTGCTTTTTGTGAGTACTTATTAGAGAAGAAGGCTCGGGTAAATGTATCCGATGAAACCGGAAAAAGTTGTTTGTTTTTGGCTATTATTTTCGGACATTGGGAAATTTTTGAGTTGCTGTTGAAGCATAACGCGAACGTTGACGCCTTCGACAATGAGGGAACTAATTGTGTGCACTGGGCGGCAGAACATGGACGTTTGAAAATGCTCGAGGTACTAGCGAACAAAAGTAAAAGAGCAATTATTGACGAAAAGTGCATGAATGGAAGTACCCCTTTACACTGGGCTGCACACAAGGGACACAATGCTGTCGTCGATTTTCTCGTAGAAAAGGGAGCCGATGTTGATGAAGACGACGACTACTCAAGGACTCCTCTGTGCTGGGCGGCTTCGGATGGTCATGTCAGTACCGTGGAACTACTACTGGAAAAGGGCGCCACTCCCAGGACCATCAGCGGGATGTCAGCGTTAGACTTTGCCAAGTTCAAGTGTAAAATGAACCAAGATTAAACGAAATCTTACTATTAATCGGCGTTTTTTTCAAATAATATTTCCGACTTAATGAATTTCCTTAGATCACTCCGAGCACTAAAGAAATGCTCCACTTGACTCTTAATTGCGAACAATTCCTTTGAGCTCTCAATAAAATAAAACTTTCCTAAAACAAAAAAACCAACCTCATTTATAGCTATCGATTCGTCGTTCATCGATCGTCCAGCAACAGATGAAGTTATAAGTAATTGAATAATTGTCTTATCGAAGCCCCTCATTTAACAAGCGGCATTTTCGTCATGCGAGTCAACAGTGATTTTCGAAGTATTGATTGCCACATTGTTGCAGTATGTTCCAGTTAATCCAATTACCGATTCATATTCCAGTGTTTAAACAATGCCGGCGAGTTCTTTGATCAGAAATTTTATTAAGGCAGCTTTGCTTTGTGACAACTCGTATCGCTTAAATTCCGCGTTTTCACAATAATCAAATTTCTGCCAACAACAAACCTGAAGTGTTCGTTGTATTGTCGAAAAATCTCATATGAGTTTGTTGTTTTGGGTGGATTTTTCACGAATAATAAGAGGTACGTTTTCAAAGACTTTATTGAAAACGCGGTTCAGACCGCTGTCTTTGCGAGCGGCTATTTTTTTTAATTTTAATAAGTTCATAACAAGTTGCAGCCGAAGAACCAATTTGTTAATGGTTCGAGAAAAGAACGCTTGGCTGGTCCATGGAGGAAACAAAAAGTAGTTTTTCATTATCGACAGATCGCCGAACCCCTCCTTGGTTAATTCCGGGGCATTTCCCATGTGGCGCGAAAATATCGTGCGTAATGGCTTTTCATTGCGCACGCTATGCCTAATTGAATTTTAATTAGTGATGCGATTCCCGCTAGGAAAAGTTGACACCTTAATTTAATCATCTAAACGTTTGCGCTTCGGAAGTTCTGTATCAAATATTGAAAATCGCGACCTGAAATATTACGTTTCAACTTCGTAATTTGATACAGAGTCTTCACTTTGAATTTAGTTATAATTTAGTTCGTGAGGGATTAAGCGGATTCCTATTTCTAGTTGTGTTTCGGAGCGGTTTTCTGAAAAGTTCTACGTCGGGTGCAATTTTATTACACGAGATTTTATTTTGCGACTGCGAAATATTCAAAGCTGAAGTATTACTTAGTTACTTAAAAATATCCGTCAAAGTGTTTCTGCAATAGGGGTAGAAGTGAGGGCGTAACGTGGAACAAATCGACGGAAATCAGCTTGAAATTCGAGCTTTTCCCAGCGACGGTATTATTTTACGCACATATTTTATTGAAAATGTTCTGCCTGCCTAAAATGCGTTAATTATTTGCTGGATGATATTGTCGACTGACGGGATTTTAGCGTGGGTTCTAATGATGATCGAACTCCGCGGAGTTAACAGCTTTCGTTTATAAGTTATATCGAACTCCGACTGCTAGCTATCAACAGTACGGTGTGTTAAGTGGGATTTATAAACTTGCTGTTGATGTTGAAGCGCCCGTTGCAGTTGCTGTTTCCGCTGACGTTGCTTTTAGAGGTGAAAATTGTCATTTATAAACTCCGTTGACAAGTTGCCGTTGATAGTGACTTTTGTGTTTTAAAGGGGCTGTAGAAGAAACGTTGATTACTCCAAAATTTACCATTTTAGACGTGTTTTAAGATTCTTGTTATCGAAATAAGTCTCACATCGTCGCCTCAGAACTTGTTTGATCTGCAGACCATAGCGCACTCAAGCTAATATCGACTCTAAGCGATTTATCTACTAAGTGAATAAAGTTATTTAACATCTTAAAACATTATGTTCCCGAATGACAAAATTAACATTTCAAATTGTATTATCAAATCGTAAAACGTTTACCCAAGAGTTGATGTCATCTTACATTTTGTCGAATCAGTGTTACTTAAATGTTAAAAAGTAGCATTGGCCTGGATTTGTGGTTTATAAATCCGCTTTTGAGATTTTTCGGCTTTTCGATTTCTCGATTTTTTAATTTCATATGTTTCAATTTTTCAATATTGGACTTTTTCGATTCTTCAAATTTTCGATTCCTCAATTTTTTTCATTTTTCGAGTTCTCAATTTTATGATTTCTAAATATTTCGATTTTTCAATTTTTTCAAGTTTTGACGTTTTTAAATTTTCAGTTTTCCGATGTCTCAATTAATCTTTTTTGTATTTTCCAATCTCTCGACTTTCGAAAGTTTCGATTTTTCACTTCTTCAATTTTTCGACTTTGCCTTTTTAGTTTTTCGATTTCTCAAATTTCTAACTTTTCAATTTTTTGGATATTTCTTTCAGTTTTGGGATTTATCAATATTTCAATTTTTCGACTTTTCGATTTTTGGACTCCTGGACTTTTTCATTTCTCGATTTTTTACTTTTTGGATTTTCAGTTGTTCGTTAAACTTTAGATTTTTAAATTTTTCGATTGATTTATACTTCTATTTTTCGATTTTTCAATTTCTCGATTAATCAATTTTTCAATTTTTAACTTTTTTTTGGGCTTTGAACTCCTCGGTTTCTCGATCCTCTGATTTTTCGATTTCTCGATGTCTCAGTTTTTGAATTTTTCGATGTTTCGATTTTTGGATTTTTCGATTTTTCAATTTTTCTAAATTTTGGAGTTTCGATATCTCGATTTGTCGATTTTTCAGTTCTCCAGTGTATTTAAATTTTTCTAACTTGGACGTTTCTGAATTTTCATTTTCCCGATTTCTCAATTTATCTATTATTTGATTTTCCCATTTCTCGACTTCCCAAAGTTTAGATCTTTCAGGTTTTTGATTTTTCAATTTTTCGATTTTTTAATTTCCCAATTTTTGGATATTTCGTTCAATTTTTTGACTTTTCAGTTTTTCGATTCTTCAGTTTTTCTCCTATTTTTCACTTTTTCGAGATCTGAGTTTTGGGAATTTTTAGTATGTAAATTTTTCGAGTTCTGGATTTTTCGATTTCTCGACATTTTGCTCTTTGGATTTTCGATTTTTCGTTTTTAAAGCTTTAGATTTTTCAATTTTTCGACTGTTTTGTACGACGATTTTGCAATCTTTCTGCTTTTCAATATTTTAACTTTCCAATTTTTAAAAATCTAGGTTTTTCGATTTACCGAGTTTTCAGTTCTATACTTCAATTATCTGAATTTTTAAATTTTCGATTTTCCAGTTTTTCATTTTTAAAATTTTTCGATTTTTCAATTTTTCGATTTTTCGATTTATGGAATTCAGATGTTTCGATGTTTCGATTGTTCAATTTCTCGATTCATCAACTTTTCAATTTTTAACTTTTTTTCTCAGCTTTCGACTTGTCGATTTCTCGATCCTCTGATTTTGAATTTTTCGATGTTTTAGATTTCTCGGTTTTTCGTTTTTTTATTTTTGGGCTTTTCAATTTTTCGATTTTCCAATTTTTCGATGTTTCGATTTTTCAGTTATCCGATTTTTCAATTTTTCGATTTTTTCAATTTTGAAGTCTCGGTTTCTCGATTTGTCGATTCTTCAGATTTTCGATTTTTAAATTTTAGATTTTCGAATTTTTATTTTTTGATTTTTTGATGTCTGGATTTTTCGATTTTTCAATTTTACGATATTTTAATTTTTTTGTATTTTAAATTTTAGATTTTTCGATTTTTCAGTTCTTCAATGTTTTTTAATTTTTCAAATTTGGACGTTTCTGAATTTTTTTTTTCAGCTCTTCAATTTTTAGTTATTTTTTTAATTTCTCGATTTTTCAATTTTTTGATTTCTCGATTTATCGAATTCAGATGTTTCGATTGTTCAGTTCCTCAATTAATCAATTTTTCAATTTTTAACTTTTTTCTGGGCTTCGACCCCTCGATTTCTCGATCCTCCGATTTTTCGAATTCTCGATGTTTTAGTTTTTCAATTTTTCGATTTTCCAGTTTTTCGATGTTTCGATTTTTCGGTTATCCGATTTTTCAATTTTTCAATTTTCTAAATTTTGGAGTATCGATTTCTCGATTGGTCGATTTTTTCAGTCTTTGAATTTTTAAATTTTAGATTTTCGAATTTTTATTTTTTCATTTTTTTGATGTTTGAATTTCTCGATCCTTCAACTTTACGATATTTTAGTTTTTCAATTTTTTTAAATTTTAGATTTTTCGATTTTTCAGTTCTTCAATATTTAAAAATTTTTCAAATTTGGACGTTTCTAAATGTTCAGTTTCCCGATTTCTCAATTAGTTTATTTTTTTATTTACCCATTTCTCGATTAGCTTCGATCTTTCAGGTCTTCAGTTCTTCAATTTTTCGATTTTTCAGGTTTTTGATTTTTCAGTTTTTCGAGTTGGGTTATTTGACTTTTCGATTTCTCAATTTTTTAATTTTTTAATTTCCCAATTTTTGTTTCGTCAATTTTTTTTCGAAAATTTTATGATTTTTCAATTTTTTGATATTTGAGTTTTGGGATTTTTTAGTATTTCGACTTTCCGATTCTTCAAGTTCTGGATTTTTCGATTTCTCGACATTTTATTTTTTGGATTTTCAATTTTTCGTTTGTTAAACTTTCGATTTTTCAATTTTTTCAATTTTTTATACTTCAATTTCACCATCTTTTAACTCTTTAGCTTTTAAAATTCGATTTCTCGAGTTGTCAGTTCTTCTACATATAATTTCTAGATTTTGAAATGTTATTTTTTTTGATAATTTCATGTTTGGATTTCTCAATTTCACAATTTTTCCATATTTGAATTTTTCAGTGTTTTAAATTTTAGATTTTTCGATTTCTCGAATTTCAGTTCTTCTAAATTTCTATTTTTCAGTTTTTCGATTTTTATATTTTAGATTTTCGAATTTTTATTTTTTCATTTTTTGATGTTTGAATTTCTCGATTTTTCAATTTTACGATATTTTAATGTTTTAGTGTTTTAAATTTTACATTTTTCGATTTTTCAGTTCTTCAATATTTTTTAATTTCTCAAATTTGGACGTTTCTGAATTTTCAGTTTTCTGATTTCTCAATTACCTAATCAATTTTTTGATTCTCCCATTTCTCGACTTCCCAAAGTTTCGACCTTTCAGTTTTTCAGTTATTTAATTTTTCAATTTTTCGATTTTTAAAGTCTGCGATTTTTCAACTTTGCTGTTTTGACTTTTCGATTTCTTAATTTTTCAATTTTTTAATTTCCCAATTTTTAGATATTTCGCTCAATTTTGTGACTTTTCAGTTTTTCGATTCTTCAATTTTTCTCCTATTTTTCAATTTTTCGATATTTAAGTTTTAGGATTTTTTAGTATTTCGACTTTCCGATTTTTCTAGTTCTGGATTTTTTGATTTCTCTACTTATTACTTTTTGGATTTTCAATTTTTCGTTTTTTGAACTTTGGACTTTCCAATTTTTCAATTTTTTAAATTTTGAATTCTCAATTTCTCAATTTGTCGATTTTTCAGTTTTTCAATTTTGATTTTTCGATCTTTTAGTCCTTCAATGTTTTTTAATTTTTCAAATTTGGACGTTTGGTTTCTCGAATTTCAGTTCTTCAAAATTTCTATTTTTCAGTTTTTCGATTTTTAAATTTTAGATTTTCGAATTTTTAGTAATCTTTAGTACTTTTTAATTTCTCAAATTTGGACGTTTCTGAATTTTTCAGTTTTCCCATTTCTCAATTAATCTATTTTTTGATTTCCCCATTTCTCGAGTTACCAAAGTTTTGGTCTTTCAGTCCTTCAGTTTTTCAATTTTTCGATTTTTCGACTTTGCTTTTTTCACTCTTCGATTCTTCAATTTTTCTGTTTTTCAATTCTTCGATTTTGAGTTTTGGAATTTTTTAGTAAGTATTTCGACTTTTCGATTTTTCGAGTTCTGAATTTTTTGATTTCTCAACTTTTTACTTTTTGGATTTTCAATTGTTCGTTTTTTAAACTTTAGATTTTACAATCTTTCGAGTGTTTTATATTTCGATTTATCTTCCAACTTTTCGATATTCTGACTTTTCAGTTTTTAAAATTTTAGGTTTTTCGATTTCTCCAGTTCTTCCACATATAATTTCTCGATTCTGAAATTTTAGATTTTCGAATTTTTAATTTTTGATTTTTTGATGTTTGTATTTCTCGATTTTACAATTTTACGATATTTTAATTTCTCTAAGTTATAAATTTTAAATTTTTCGATTTTTCAGTTCTTCAATGTTTTTTAATTTTTTAAATTTGGAGGTTTCTGAATTTTTCAGTTTTCCGATTTCTCAATTAATCTGTTTTGAATTTCCCATTTCTCGATTTCCCAAAGTTTCGATCTTTCAGTTCCTCAGTTCTTCAATTTTTCGATTTTTCAGGTTTTGGATTTTTAGATTTTTCGATTTTTTAAGTTTGCGATTTTTTGACTTTTCGATTTCTCAATTTTTCATTTTTGGATATTTCGTTCAATTTTGTGACTTCAGTTTTTCTGTTTTTCAATTTTTCTCCAATTTTGCCATTTTTCCATGTTTGAGTTTTTTGATTTTTTAGTATTTCGACTTTTCGATTTTTCGAGTTCTGGATTTTTCGACTTCTTTCCTTGTATACTTCAATTTCGCAATCTTTCACTTTTCGATGTTTTAACATGTCAATTTTTAAAATTTTAGGTTTTTCGATTTCTCGAGTTTTCAGTTCTTCTACATATATATAATTTCTCGATTTTGAAATTTAAATTTTTTTGATTTTTTCATGTTTGGATTTCCCGATTTTACAATTTTTCGATATTTGAATTTTTCAGTGTTTTACATTTGAGATTTTTCGGTTTCCCGATTTTTCACTTCTTCAAAATTTCCATTTTTCAATTATTCGATTTTTTAATTTTGCCATCTTGGTTTTTCGATTTTTAAAATTGTTGGACTTTCCGATTTTTAGATTTCCCGATTTTTCAAGTTTTCAATTTCTATATTTTGCATTTTTTCCTTAGTTGTATACATAATATTATTTGAACAGCACGATTTTAAAAACATATTTTTAATTTTTTGTAAAGAAATAAATATTTTGCAGTTAAGCTCCGCCCCCTTGGTTCACGGCGAATAAAAAAATCATCAGAATTGAGACAGGGTGGGTGGGCGGGGCTTAGATTTTGTCTTTTCGTTTTAATATGTGTAGACCTTTTTTCACAACTGAAACTTGCAAAAATCTACCATTTTTATTACCATGTTTTAAGTTTCTTGTTGTGAAAAGATGGCTATGTAAATTAAGAAAAAAAAAAAGGCAAACAATGTCCCCCTACTTCAGGACATTTTCCTTCAAGCTGGCAGCACTGCACGCTACCGTAATTTGATTGGTTGAAAACCTAACGTCAACGGCAACGTCAGCGGTAAATTTATAAATCGACCTTTAATATACAACTTCTTCAGTGGGTAATTTTATAAGCTTCGACAGAAAAACAGTCTGTTCCGTCGCTTCACAATAAGAGTAATCGTGGAAGATAAATGGCAGAATTACGTGCTGTATTTGTTAAATTAGCGCTGGCATGTCTGCACTTTTTGTCCAGAAATCGTCTCCAAGCGGGGCTTTAAATTAATTGCTCACATTTCTTCATAAACGAAACGCGAGTCGCCTTTCTTTCCAGTGTGTTCGTGAATAAAATGTGACACGAACGGCCGTAAAGCCGTGCTTGCAATGACAAAACAGATTTAATTAAAAAACTTTTGATTGTAATTCCTGGTGAGTTAAATTGATATGGAAATGCCATAGAATCTCGGTCAAAATATTTACAAGTCAATTTTGCGCAGACAACTTAAATGATTATTTCTACTGGAATTAGGAAAAGTTGTACGTAGATTGGAATGATTACATTTCGGCCCGTGTCGGGTCGAAGTTTCAGCCGAGTTATGAATTTTTAAAGTGCAGCGTAACGAGTTTTAACAGTTTTTTCTTAACCGCGAATTTCCGCTCCGTAATTGGACGTTGCGTTTTCGAGTCACGCGTCCTGATTACGGATAACTCCGTAATTCACTTTCCTAAGCTAATTTTTGTTTGAGCGATTTCGCGCCCCACTTGAGTTATTTCATCTTCGGGTGAGCACGACATCGGAGACACGTTATTAACTCACGAGTTAAACAATATTTTTATGGGGGATAATTCACGAAGGAGCTACTTATAAACTCGGGAATTTATGGCCTCCTCATGATAAGTTTGCGCCACGGGACATTTACTTGCCTTGCCCTTTAATTTTTTCCGCCGCCGGCTTCACTGAACTCGTAAAAATGATTAATAATAATAGGCGGACAGGACTCATTAATTCGGAATGTTCGAGTAAATGAAAAGCGCCCACGACGGGGAGGAAAGACTCACTGCGCTCGATTTTGGTCATGCTCATGTCGTCCTTCTTGAGGCAGCACAGGATCTTCTTGGGGATCATGTGGCTGAAGCATTTTGATTTGGTCTTTCGAGCGCGGGTTCTTAGTGGTCGGTCGTTTTGCTGGATTTCTATCTCGATGGATCTTGAGCTTGAGGTTTCTTCCTCGTAGGCGGTGCTTCGGCGGCGGCGTCGTAAGCAGCTGCACTCTTTGGACTTGGAGGCACCCATGTTACATTGTATGTTGAGCCTGAAAGCAGATTGATCAAGTTGAACAAAAGTAAAAAATTGTATTTTTTTTAATAAAAGTTGTTTATGTAATTTGTTTATAAAATTTTTATATTGTTTATTTATAATTTCTTATGAATTCGTTTATAAATTTGTTTATATAAATTGTTTCTATACTTGTTCACAAAAATTGTTAAAAAATTGCATATTTATAAATTTCTATATTTATATTTCTGTTTATTTACAAATTTGTTTATTTATAAAATAGAATAAAAAATTGTTAACGAAATTTTTTCACAAGAATTGTTATACAGAGTGTTAAAAAATAGCGCACCAAGTCTATGACACGTTGTTTAGAACCATTTATGAAGCAGACTAAAAATTATTTAAAAAATTCTTTTGTCCAAATATAGAAGATATGGCCTTCCAAATTTTTTTTCTTTTTCGAAAGTTCACGATATTTTATTTCACTACTTTGTGTTGGGTATTTGAAATCGATTGGAGTTTCATTATTTAAAATAATTTTGGAGCCTTCTTGTCGTTATTTATTCATTTTATAACATTACAAAAAACTTAAAAATTGTTTAGGATGAATCTGATAACACTGGCTACATTGTTACATTTTTTGATCTGTTTAACTTATTCTATCGATATTTTGTTTTCATAAGTGAACGTCAACAATTTTTGAATGATTTTTTCCGAACTTTTTCGACTTGCAAATTTAATCATATAACGTTGAGTTCGTTTCTAAAATATTGGCCCAAAACGATTAGCACCCTATGTTTTGGAATTCAGCTCGTCGAAATACATCTCCCAGATTTTTTTGAAAATTTTTAAGAAACTTTGCCAAAAGTTCAATTTTCCACACCCTCTCCTATGAATTTTTGTCATTTTTCAAAGTACCGTCGAAATTCACCAAAATATTCTTTTATTGATTTTTATCTGAGAAGTTTTTTTTGGCTTTATTTATTCTACAATTTCAACCATTTTTCCATAATCACGTGACAAATTTTCAGACATGTATTTAGAAAATTTGAATACATATTTCGAAAATATTAGTCCGAGTCCATCAACACCCTATGTTTTGGGATACAACTCGTCGAGATCTATCTTACAAATTTTTTTGAGAATTTTTAGGAAACTTCGCCGAAAGCTTAATTTTTCTATACCCTCCCCTATGAATTTTTGACGTTTTTCTGCGATTATTTCGACTAGAGTTGTTTACAAATTTATTTGTAAAATTTATATATAAAATTGTTTATAATGTTTGTTTATAAAAATTATTGTTCATATCATTTGTTCATTTATAAATTTGTTAGTTTTGTTTATAAAAGTTGTTTATGTACGAATATATTTTTTTCCTCCAGAAATTTGTTTTAAAAAATTTTCTCTTCATCAATTAATAATGTTCGTTTATTGTTTATAAATAGTTTATATAATTTGTTTATAAAAATTAGTTATTATATGTTCAAAAGTAAGTTCAAAAAATTAAGGGATAACATGATTTTTGTCGAATTTTCTCGACTTTTAAATGTAATCCTGTATCGTTGAGTTGGGGCGCCATTTTTTGAACAGCCTATATAATTTGTTTAACAAAAATAGGTTGCTTGTCAATTTGTTTGCAAATTTATTTATAAAATTGTTTATATTGTTTATTCATATCATTTGTTTTAAAAAATGTTCATTTATAAATTTGTTTATAAATTTGTTGGTTTGGTTATAAAATTTGTTTATGTATGAATATATGTATTTTTTTCTCTAGAAATTTGTTTTAAAAAATTCTCCCTTTATCAGTTAATAATGTTCGTTTCTTGTTGTTTATATATAGTTTATATTATTTGTTTGTAAAATTAGTTATTATCTGCTCAAAAGTAAGTTCGAAAAATTAAGCGATAACATGATTTTTGTCGAATTTTCTCGACTTTTAAATGTAATCCTGTATCTTTGAATTGGGGCGCCATTTTTTTAACACCCTATATAATTTGTTTAATAAAAATAGGTTGCTTGTCAATTTGTTTGCAAATTTATTTATAAAATTGTTAATATTGTTTACTCATATCATTTGTTTTAAAAAATGTTTATTTATAAATTTGTCTATAAATTTATTAGTTTTGCTTATAAAATTTGTTTATGTATGAATATATTTTTTTTCTCTAGAAATTTGTTTTAAAAAATTGTCCTTTTATCAATTAGTAATGTTCGTTTGTTGTTTATAAATAGTTTATACAATTTGTTTGTAAAAATTAGTTATTAGGTATCTGTCCAAAAGTAAGTCCAAAAAATTAAGCGATAACATGATTTTTGTCGAATTTTCTCGACTTTTAAATTTAATCCTGAATCATTGAGTTGGGGCGCCATTTTTTGAATACCCTATATAATTTGTTTAACAAAAATACGTTGCTTGTCAATTTGTTTGCAAATTTATTTATAAAATTGTTTATATTGTTTATTCATATCATTTGTTTTAAAAAATGTTCATTTATAAATTTGTTTATAAATTTGTTGGTTTTGCTTATAAAATTTGTTTATGTATGAATATATGTATTTTTTTCTCTAGAAATTTGTTTTAAAACATTGTCCCTTTATCAGTTAATAATGTTCGTTTCTTGTTGTTTATATATAGTTTATATTATTTGTTTGTAAAATTAGTTATAATCTGTTCAAAAATGTGTTCAAAAATTTAACTGACAGCACGATTTTTGTCGAATTTTCTCGACTTTTAAATGTAATCCTGTATCGTTGAGTTGGGGCGCCATTTTTTGAACAGCCTATATAATTTGTTTAACAAAAATAGGTTGCTTGTCAATTTATTTGCAAATTTATTTATAAAATTGTTTGTATCGTTTATTCATATCATTTGTTTTAAAAAATGTTCATTTATAAATTTGTTTATAAATTTGATAGTTTTGTTTATAAAATTTGTTTATGTATGATTTTTTTTTCTCTAGAAATCTGTTTTAAAAAAATTGTCCCTTTATCAGTTAATAATGTTCGTTTGTTGTTTATATATAGTTTATACAATTTGTTTATAAAAATTAGTTATTATCTGTTCAAAAATGAGTTCAAAAACTCAACCGACAAACACGATTTTTCTCTAACTTTCTCGACTTGTATGTATAATCATGTGGCGTTGAGTTGGTGCGCCATTTTTTGAACACCCTATATAATTTGTTTAACAAAAATTGTTTACTTGTCAATTTGTTTGCAAATTTATTTGTAAAATTTATATATGAAATTGTTTATAATGTTTGTTTATAAAAATTGTTCATATCATTTGTTTTAAAATATGTTCATTTATAAATTTGTTTGCTTTGCTTATAAGATTTGTTTATTCACGAATATTTTTTTCTCTAGAAATTTGTTTCAAGAAATTGTCCGTTTATGAATTGATAATGTTCGCTTGTTGTTTATAAATAGTTTATACAATTTGTTTATAAAAATTAGTTATTATCTGTTCAACAATGAGTTCAAAAACTCAATCGACAACACGATTTTTCTTGAACTTTCTCGACTTGTAAATTTAATCATATAGCGCTGAGTAGGTGCCCCATTTTTTGAACACCCTATATAATTTGTTCAACAAAAATTGTTTATTTTTCAATTTGTTTAGAAATTTATTTATAAAATTGTTTATATTGTTTGTTCATATAATTTGTTTTAGAAAATGGTCATTTATAAATTTGTTTATAAATTTGTTAGTTTTGCTTATAAAATTTGTTCATGTATGAATTTTTTTTTCTTGATAAATTTGTTTTAAAAAATTGTCCCTTTATGAATTAATAATGTTCATTTGTTGTTTATAAATAGTTTATATAATTTGTTTGTAAAATTAGTTATTATCTGTTCAAAAATGACTTCGAAAGCTTAACCGACAACATGATTTTTGTCGAATTTTCTCGACTTTTAATTTAATCCTGTATCGTTGATTGGTGCGCCATTTTTTGAACACCTTATATAATTTGTTTAACAAAAATTATTTATTTTTCAATTTGTTTACAAATTTATTTATAAAATTGTTTATAATGTTTGTTTAATGTTTTAAAATTGTTCGTATCATTTGTTTTAAAATATGTTCATTTATAAATTTGTTTATAAATTTATTTGTTTTGCTTATAAGATTTGTTTACTCACGAATTAAAAAAAAAAACTCAACCGACAACATAATTTTTCCCGAAATTTCTCAACTTTTAAATTTAGTTATGTATCGTTGAGTTGGTACACCATTTTTTTTAAACACACTATATAATTTGTCTAACAAAAATTGTTTATGAATTAATTTTTAGAAATTTATTTGTAAAATTTACTTATTAAATTGTTTAGATTTTTTGTTTATAAAAATTGTTCATTTCATTTCTTTTAAAAATTATTCATTTATAAATTTGTTTATAAATTTGTTTATAAAATTTGTTTATTACGAATTTAATTTTTTTCTTTATAAGTTGGTTTTAAAAAATTGCCCCTTTATCAATTAATAATGTTCATTTGTTGTTTATAAATAATTTACACAATTTGTAGACATTAGTTTATCTGTTCAAAAATGTGTTCAAAAACTCAATCGACAACACGATTTTTCTCGAAATTTCTCGACTTGTAGTAAATTTAATCCTGTATTGTTGAGTTAATGCGCCATTTTTTGAACACCTTATATATTTGTTTAACAAAAATTGTTTACTTATCAATTTGTTTATAAATTTATTTATAAAATTGTTTATAATGTTTGTTTAATGTTTTAAAATTGTTCATATCAATTGTTTTAAAATATGTTCATTTATAAATTTGTTTACAAATTTGTTTGTTTTGCTTATAAAATTTGTTTATTTTTGAATTAAAAAAAAAACTCAACCGACAACATGATTTTTCTCGAAATTTCTCAACTTTTAAATTTAGTTTTGTATCGCTGAGTTGGTACGCCATTTTTTTTAAACACACTATATAATTTGTTTAAAAAAAATTGTGTATTAATCAATTTTTACAAATTTATATGTAGAATTTACTTATAAAATTGTTAGTAAAAATTGTTCA